CCATCAGTTAAGCAGGATGCTGATCATTTCATTTGACGTTGAAAAAGCCAGGAGAGAGATGTTAGGCTTATGCTATTCCCGCCACGCTAGCGTTAGATGTCGTGACTGTTTTTATTTTATGGACAGCACAATTCAATTTAAAAACAGACCACGCAGCGCCAACGTGTGGGCATCCGCTGGTAGGTTGGCCGCGTTGACGAGCTAGAGAACAACTGTTTATCAGCCTCCTATTTATGGATTCACTTGTGCATTTCAGGCATGTCGGTGAGGAGAACTCTCAGGTACAGTTCTCAGCCCAGCTGATAAACAGTACAGCTGCATCGGAATGCAGTGCCTGACATCATCCTGCCGCGCTGTCTGTGCAGAAAGGCTCGCCGTTGGTAAATATGAAAAGGACTGCAGATGTCATCTTCCAAATGCTGTGCTTTTTTAGGTAATCCATTGAAAGTCCAGTGCTCCAAAACCAGTACTAGGAAACTGGTTTCACTATATTCTCCTCGAGGTTTATTTTGTTCAAAACCCCAAGTTCCAGTGAAGAGGAGTCATCGGCCCACACGATGGATGTAGACAAACTTTTTCTTTAAGTTCTGAAAATCGATTTCCTCTGATGTTTGTGCAGCAGCTGTTTCAACTTGTCTTTGAAAAAGCTGGTTGTCAGAGTGTAGATGATTGGGTTCAAGGCACTGTTTACTGGGAGGAAAAAAACGACGACCCAGGAAGTGATTGTTTCTGAGAAGGAAACGAAGTGTGAAAGAAAGCTGAGGTTTTCATAGACACAAGACACATAGCATTTTATAGTCAAAGCTACTTTTGAGACGGCTACCTGGCTCGTTTACGTCCTCTCTCACCTCATGGAAAAGCTCTCTGCTGCAAGGGCACGGGAGCTACGAACTCAAGGTCCTACCACCGACTTTTCTGAGTTTCAGAAACGACTTCACACGTTGTTACGAAACAACACGGGAGGAGACGTGTGAAAACACTTCATACACTATAAATTGATACATAATGTATTTTTCTTGTTTTTATTGCCCTTCCTTATAGAAAAATAAGAAAATGAGGAAATAATTCATAATCAATAGGACAGTGTCCAGAACTAGAAAGTTCTGGTCCAGAGTCAGCTCTGACCTTGGTCTGAATTTCAGTCCTGAAGGTCTTCCTGCCCCGCCCTCATATCCCCGCTGCTATATTCAGAATGCAGTCAGAAGATTTGAAGAGCAAAAAAGAATATATCTCCAAACTCAACGAATTCCTTCTGTGTGAAGGCTTACAAAGGCTATTAGAGTATTAAGGGAAATATGCCAGAAAAAGTGAGGAGAAATTTTGGATGGATGGCAGTGTCCTTTCTGAATTCAGTTGTCCCTTAGTATCCACCATGGAAGAGGTTCCAGGAGCTCCACAGATACCGAAATCCACAGGTTCTCAAGTCCGTTAAATAAAATGGCATAGTATTTGCATATAACCTATGCACATCCCCCCCGTATACTTTACATCATCTCTAGATTACTTCACCTAATACAAGGTACAGCCATGTAAAGATTGTAAATACAATGTAAATGCTATGTAAATATTTGCCAGCACAAGACAAATTAAAGTTTTGCTTTTTGGAACTCTCTGGAAATTTTTTTCCAATATTTTCCATCTGCAGTTGGTTGAATGCATGGATTTGGAACGCAGGGCTACGGAGGGCCGACGGTACATCAGTTGCTTGGTTAGGATGAAATCTATTTTCTCCCTTAAACAGAGCCTGCTCCCAGGGTTACACACTTCTTAGCTGTGTGACTGTGGGCAAATCCCCTAAGCTCCCCAGACCTCAACTGCCTTATCTGTGAAAGGGGCTGGCGATAACTTACATGACTGAAGTCAGTGAGCTGGGCCGGCTCTGCGGACAACCATTTTCAGAACCTGGGGTTCTCCAGTCCCACCACACTCTGCTGTCTCCTCCCCCATCTTCAAAAGTCTGAGAACTGCCAGCTCAGGTGAGAGCTGGACATAAGCCTAGCATCCTTCCACTCCCCCTCTCCTTTGTGACCCCCTCCTCCCCTCCCCCTCCTGTAAATTTCTTATCCTTCAGACACTGTTGCTTGTTCCCCTCTTAGCCCTGCCCTGTTCCCCACATCCTGTCTGTTCTTCCTCTGGTTACTTTTCCACTTCTTCTCTGACTTTATCTGCCCTTTCCTCCTTCCCTTTGATCTCTCCCGTCTCCTTTTTCTATGTTTGCCTTTCCTCTTTTCCACCCCGTCTTCTCTTTCTTTTCCTTATTTCTTTTTAACTGGAAAGAATACGAAAGAAATACGTTTGTATTTAGCATACCTTAGATTTATTAAATGAAGTTTTATATTACTATATTATCTGTCCTTAATTAAAAATAAATTAGATATGAACAGTTTGTGACTGAAGAAAAACAGTCAGTTGTTTTTTGTCTGTTGTGTCCCCAAAGGAGGTTGTGATCAGGAATGAGACTTCCTGTTCGTCTCAGGATGACTCACTGATGTAAGGTTAGCAGGTTAAGTCCTGAGATGGGAGGGCTGAAGCCAGCTTATCTTTGGGGCTGACTCCATGTACTCTCAGTGACCTACCATGCTGAAGCAGACCCCAGAATTCTTGGAGGGTGGGGACAGGGGGCATTTAGGTCCATGAAAGTAGCAATTTCTACAACACCATGGGGAGTTGGGCAAGCGAGGAGGGGCTTAGTCAAGTGTGGTAAAGACTTCTCTCCTAGGTGCACTGAGGTATTCAAGACAAACCTCAAAGGACTGAACTATAAAATGTAGAGAAAGACCAATGTGTGGCCCAATAACATTTTCATGATTTTTTTTCCTGTTCTAGTTCCATATCACGATCTAAAATGTCTTAGACTCTCTCCAAGAATAATGATTACTACCCCTGCTATCAGAAAACCTTGCTGTGAACTAAGCTCATAGGTTAAGGGGATGCTGCAAATGTTGTATGTCATTTTTCAGTGAGGCATTTGGCAAGACAGAGGGACATAAATAGTTGCAGGTGTTTGTTACTTGTACATTCATCACTCTTTTATAAGGGCTTCTGATGTGTCAACCCCATGCTCGACACTTCTTTTGTTTTTATCCAAAAGATTTCATATTCCATGGAATCTCATTAAAGTCATACAAATAGAATTTCACAAAATCGATTTATCTTAGGCCTATTGTCAGAAAGTTTAGTTAAGAATAAAATAAGATGACTGTTAAAGATGTTCCTCTGGTACAAATCCTGAAAGCATCTTCTACCAAGATGAAGAACACAATTCCTGCCCTGGAGGAACACTCCAAATAGATTTGCAATAGGCTGAAAAAGTGAGCTGAAGATGATCCCAAAGTTTGTTTCCCTGAGGGCTGGGCAAAAGCCCTGGGTGGACCCTAGGATGGCTTCAATTTCTAGGTCCCAGAAAGGCCTTCAAGCAAAATCCTAACTAATGAAAGGTGATTTTCTCTGGTTGAAGCAGGGGTGTGGCCTTTTAGATAGGCACTTTCATGGAACATTAGACCTCCACAGGGCACAGTGTGACAACCATGTGGCTAGGGCCATGAAATAGACTGGTGGTTCTTAATCAAGGGTGTGCACCTTAGAATCACAAAACACCCATGTAGAGGCTTTGGCCCCTATAGACTAAATTCAGAGGCCCAGGGTGAAACCTGCACATGTATGTTTTGTTTTGCTTTAGGTACTCTTGGTGAAGCATCACTATGTAGCCCAAGTGGAAGCAAGACACTAAGACTTAGTTTTCCTCTGTCTCCTGTGTTTTTGTTATTCTTGTCTGGGTTGCACCATTACTCAGTTCCTATCTTAGAATACTGATTATAAAACACTTAGGAAATCCTAAACCTTTGTATTCAAGTTGTAGGTATTTATGGAGAACTTACTATATGTGACGGACTGTATTCTCGCCTCTTCAAACAAAGGGCATAAGAAAGCACAACGTACTTGGGAATAACAGAAGGGACTGACCTGGTATTTCCACCCGGAAGAGGGAAAGGATTTTAATTACAAATACAGGAATCCAGCAGATGGCATCAGAGAACACTATAAAAAAGAAACGGTTTGCGACGGCCGCCTCTCTTCCAGTGTTATTCCTCACTTCTGAAGTCTGCAAGGCAGTTTTTTGAATGGAACAGAACATAATAGTATAGGAAAACACAATGATGAGAAAAGCCAGCAAATTCACACCTGTTGGGAAAAGCACACCTCTTAACATCTCAGGTGTACAAATCAACAGTAGAAATACTGTGTTACTTAGATGTTCAATATGGTGCCTCTTCCCCTCCCCTGTACTTCCAGGAAGCATTCTTGTTATAAGCCCAGTGGTAAATCAGCTAAAACCCTGAATCCAAGGCTATAAACTGGAACAAGTTAAAAAAAATGGGTTTGCCAGATCAAAAAGATATTTAAATACATAAACACTTTTCCAAGAATTGTAGACTTTGAAATTCAGATCTATGTATATCATGAGGTAAATTTTAGCTTTTTTAAAGCAGGAAAAAAGCTATTTCATTTTTAGTTCTCCACAAATTCAAACCTTAAGGGATTACTGTAATCACATGTACAGCTCAAGAAATCAATATGCCCCTATTCCTTTAACTTATACATATGAATAAGATATCCTAGGAATATCAAGAAGACAATAGCCTCAGAAACATTATTTTTTATGTTTTTTGGTCTTAAAAAAATAATACATAGGGACTAAAATACATGTTTATTTTTTCTTCAGATTGCCCACAGTAATCTAAACTAAAATTCAGAACCTTTTAGACTTGTTTTAGAAAAACAAGGAATAAGAGAAAAATTAAAAATTCAACTATATAAATTACTCTTTTAGGGTCAAATATGTTCAGAAGATTCTCACTTATCATTATCGTATAATGCTGACTTCTTTGTTGCTCTGTTATATTCTTGCTATCATAAAAATCCTAAAACTGATCATCTTATTCCTTATGGTGAACATAAAATTCCCATATAATTTCAAAGTTGTTTAAAAAATGTTCATCTGATTAGACTGTATGTAAGACTGGTGAAGTCTAGGGGAAAATTCTACAAATTCAAGGTGTTCCATTGCTTTTATCCAAAAGATTTCATATTCCATGGAATCTCATTATAAATTCATACAAATAGAATTTCACAAAATTAATTTATCTCAGGCCTATTGTCAGAAAGTTTAGTTAAGAATAAAATAAGGGATGAGCTTCAAGATGGCTGAAGAGTAAGATGCGGAGATCACCTTCCTCCCCACAGATACACCAGAAATACATCTACACATGGAACAACTCCTACAGAACACCTTCTGAACGCTGGCAGAAGACCTCAGACCTCCCAAAAGGCAAGAAACTCCCCACGTACCTGGGTAGGGCAAAAGAAAAAAAGAATAAACAGAGACAAAAGGATAGGGACGGGACCTGCACCAGTGGGAGGGAGCTGTGAAGGAGGAAAGGTTTCCACACACTAGGAGCCCCTTCGCGGGCGGAGACTGCGGGAGGCGGAGGGGGAAAGCTTCGGGGCCTCGGAGCAGAGCGCAGCAACAGGGGTGCGGAGGGCAAAGCGGGGAGATTCCCGCACGGAGGATCGGTGCCGACCGGCACTCACCAGCCCGAGAGGCTTGTCTGCTCACCCGCAGGGGCGGGCGGGGCTGGGAGCTGAGACTCGGGCTTTGGTAGGAGCGCAAGGAGAGGACTGGGGTTGGCGGCATGAACACAGCCTGCAGGGGGCTAGTGCGCCACGGCTGGCCGGGAGGGAGTCCAGGACAAAGTCTGGAGCTGCTGAAGAGGCAAGAGGCCATTGTTTCAGGGTGCACGAGGAGACGGGATTCAGAGTGCCGCCTAAACAAGCTCCAGAGACGGGTGCGAGCCGCAGCTTCAGCGCAGACTCCAGAGACAGGCATGCGACGCTAAGGCTGCTGCTGCAGCAACCAAGAATCATGTGTGCAAGCACAGGTCACTGTCCACACCTCCCCTCCCGGGAGGCTGTGCAGCCCGCCACTGCCAGGGACCTGTGACCCAGGGACAACTTCCCCTGGAGAACGCACAGCGCGCCTCAGGCTGGTGCAACGTCATGCTGGCCTCTGCCGCTGCAGACTCGCCCCACATCCATACTCCTCCCTCCCTGCGGCCTGAGTGAGCCAGAGCCCCCGCGTCAGCTGCTCCTTTAACCCCGTCCTGTCTGAGCGGGGAAACAGATGCCCTCAGGCGACCAATACGCAGGGGTGGGGCCAAATCCAAAGCTGAATCCTGGGAGTGGTGCTAACAAAGAGAAAGGGAAATCTCTCCCAGCAGCCTCAGGAGCAGCGAATTAAATCTCTACAGTCAACTTGATGTACCTCGCATCTGTGGAATACCTGAATAGACAACGAATCATCCCAAATTGAGGAGGTGGACTTTGGGAGCAAAGATATATATATATTTTTTTCCTTTTTCTCTTTTTGTGAATGTGTATGTGTATGCTTCTGTGTGTGATTTTGTCTTTATAGCTTTCCTTTTACCATTTGTCCTAGGGTTCTGTCTGTCCGTTTTTCGTGTGTGTGTTTTCTTTTTATTAGTTAAAAATTTTTTCCCTTAATAATTATTATTTCTTTTAATAACTTTATTTTATATTATTTTACTTTATTTCATTATATCTTCTTGCTTTCTATTTTTTCTCCCTTTTATTCTGAGCCGTGCGGATGAAAGGCTCTTGGTGCTCCAGCCAGGCATCAGGGCTGTGCCTCTGAGGTGGGAGAGCCAAGTTCAGGACACTGGTCCACAAGAGACCTCCCAGCTCCAGGTAATATCAAACGGCGAAAATCTCCCAGAGATCTGCATCTCAACGCCAAGACCCAGCTTCACTCAACGACCAGCAAGCTATAGTGCTGGACACCCGATGTCAAACAACTAGTAAGACAGGAACACAACCCCACCCATTAGCAGAGAGGCTGCCTAAAATCATAATAAGGCCACAGACACCCCAAAACACACCACCAGATGTGGACCTGCACACCAGAAAGACAGATCCAGCCTCATCCACCAGAACACAGGCATTAGTCCCCTCCACCAGGAAGCCTACACAGCCCACTGAACCAACCTTAGCCACTGGGGACAGACACCAAAAACAACGGCAACTATGAACCGGCAGCCTGTGAAAAGGAGACGCCAAAAACAGTAAGTTAAGCAAAATGAGAAGACAGAGAAATTCACAGCAGATGAAGGAGCAAGGTAAAAACCCACCAGAACAAACAAATGAAGAGAAAATAGGCAGTCTACCTGAAAAAGAATTCAGAATAACGATAGTAAAGATGATCCAAAATCTTGGAAATAGAATAGAGAAAATACAAACGTTTAACAAGGACCTAGAAGAACTAAAGAGCAAACAAACAATGATGATCAACACAATAAATGAAATTAAAAATTCCCTAGAAGGGATCAATAGCAGAATAACTGAGGCAGAAGAACAGATACGTGACCTGGAAGACAAAATAGTGGAAATAACTATTGCAGAGCAGAATAAAGAAAAAAGAATGAAAAGAACTGAGGACAGTCTCAGAGACCTCTGGGACAACATTAAACGCACCAACATTCGAATTATAGGGGTTCCAGAAGAAGAAGAGAAAAAGAAAGGGACTGAGAAAATATTTGAAGAGATTATAGTTGAAAACTTCCCTAATATGGGAAAGGAAATAGTTAATCAAGTCCAGGAAGCACAGAGAGTCCCATACAGGATAAATTCAAGGAGAAATACGCCAAGACACATATTAATCAAACTGTCAAAAATTAAATACAAAGAAAGCATATTAAAAGCAGTAAGGGAAAGACAACAAATAACACACAAGGGAATCCCCATAAGTTTAACAGCTTATTTCTCAGCAGAAACTCTGCAAGCCAGAAGGGAGTGGCAGGACATATTTAAAGTGATGAAGGACAAAACCCTACAACCAAGATTACTCTACCCAGCAAGGATGTCATTCAGATTTGATGGAGAAATTAAAACCTTTACAGACAAGCAAAAGCTAAGAGAATTTAGCACCACCAAACCAGCTTTACAACAAATGCTAAAGGAACTTTTCTAGGCAGGAAACACAAGAGAAGGAAAAGACCTACAATACCAAACCCAAAACAATTAGGAAAATGGGAATAGGAACATACATATCGATAATTACCTTAAATGTAAATGGAATAAATGCTCCCACCAAAAGACACAGACTGGCTGAATGGATACAAAAACAAGACCCATCTATATGCTGTCTGCAAGAGACCCACTTCAGACCTAGGGACACATACAGACTGAAAGTGAGGGGATGGAAAAAGATATTCCATGCAAATGGAAATCAGAAGAAAGCTGGAGTAGCAATTCTCATATCACACAAAATAGACTTTAAAATAAAGAGTATCACAAGAGACAAAGAAGGACACTACATAACGATCAAGGGACTGATCCACGAAGAAGATATAACAATTGTAAATATTTATGCACCCAACATAGGAGCACCTCAATACATAAGGCAAATACTAACAGCCATAAAAGGGGAAATCGACAGTAAAACAATCATAGTAGGGGACTTTAACACCCCACTTTCACCAATGGACAGATCATCCAAAATGAATATAAATAAGGAAACACAAGCTTTAAATGATACATTAGAAAAGATGGACTTAATTGATATTTATAGGACACTCCATCCCAAAACAACAGAATACACATTCTTCTCAAGTGCTCATGGAACATTCTCCAGGAGAGATCATATCTTGGGTCACAAATCAAGCCTTAGTAAATTTAAGAAAATTGAAATTGTACCAAGTATCTTTTCTGATCACAACGCTATGAGACTAGATATCAATTACATGAAGAAATCTGTAAAAAATACAAACACATGGAGGCTAAACAATACACTACTAAATAACCAAGAGATCACTGAAGAAATCAAAGAGGAAATCAAAAAATACCTAGAGACAAATGACAGTGAAAACACTACCACCCAAAACATTTGGGATGCAGCAAAAGCAGTTCTAAGAAGGAAGTTTATAGCAATACAATCCTACCTTAAGAAACAAGAAACATCTCAAATAAACAACCTAACCTTCTACTTAAAGCAATTAGAGAAGAACAAAAAAAACCCAGCGTTAGCAGAAGGAAAGAAATCATAAAGATCAGAGCAGAAATAAATGAAATGAAAAAGAAATGAAGGAAACAGTAGCAAAAATCAATAA